CACAGCACCACTCTGGATTTTCTGGTGGTTAATTGGAGATGAGAGTCTCCCAGACTTTCCTTCCTGGGCTGGCTTGGAACTGTGATGCTCGGATCTCAGTTTCCTAAGTAGTTAGGATTACAGGTGTGAGCCACCAGCACCTAGCTTCTTAAGAGTACTTTTAAGGGCTGTGATGTGTAGGTCAATGGTATAGCATTTGCCCAGCAGGCATGAGGTCCTGGATTTCACCCCCTCCCGCCCACACACTAAAAATAAAGGGTCAATATTTAAATTTTATACATTTTGGACCATGCTGTCTACCTGTTAGTGTCCATTCTTTCCAACTTAGCCAGATAATTGCTTGTGAGTTTATTGAAGCTTCTGTTAACATGATAAATGAAATGGATCCACTTACTCTTCTGAAAAATGAGTTATTCAGCTTTGTTTCTGAAATTTCTTTCCACACGTCTATCACTTTGGCCGCTATTAAACTTTTAACTAAATACTTTTTTTTTGGCGGTGGAGGGGGAGCAGGGCAGGATTCCTCAAATGGGTCATTATTTGCATTGTCTTTTGGCTTGTTCGATCTACTTTTAAGGTCATGCAAAAATGACATGACCCAGTGATAACTGAATTGCATAGCTGAGGTCAGAGACAGCCCAGGGAAGTGACCTTCTTTCCTGAGCCACCTGAGCCTGACCCCCACACCCACCACATGTATACAATCAATTCACACTGCCTTCCAGGGAACCAACCTCCAGCTACTTTCTTTGTAATCTCATCATTCAGGGAGCTGGGAACTATCAGCCACTTCCATGGTGATAAATGTCAGCAAGGCTGACCCTGAGGACAAGCAGTAGAAAAGCGAGAAGAGACTTTGTTTACAGGAAACACCAGATCCGGATGCCTGAGTAGTTAGGATTATAGGTTTGAGCCACCATCACCCAGCTTGCCTATTTTATATCCCAGAAACACTTAACTAGTATCATATAAATGGATTTGATAGTTTGGATAAATTAGTGGCTTTTTGTTTTTAACTTATTGAAATACTGAAAGGTTGTAACATCCTAAGATGAGCATTAGACTCATGTTCGAGTTTATTAACTCGCCTTAAATATTAACATCTTGTTTCTGTGCTATTAGGGGTATGGGCATATGTCATATACAAGCTGGACCTGAACTTGTCTTGCCATTCAGGGAGAGTTCCTTTCCAAGTGAGATATTTCCTTCTTTCCTTAGGAAAGTGTCTTAGATAGGACCACTTTGTTTGCTTAGAGACAAGATGATTCATTGCATTCCAAGTCTTAAAAAAATATAGGTCCTGTGGTTTCTCTTATTTGCAATAATTAGTATATATCTAGGATAATCTTGTCACATTATCCTAATATACTAATCTTAGCAGAAAAGCTCAAAAGCTATATACATATGAACATATAAGATGGTGCTAAGTAAAATGAACCCGAAGAAGTGAACACAAGAGGTTTTTCTTAGTCTTGTTTTTAATGTACTATGCGATTTTTTTTTGTTTCTTTTGTATGTTCTTCCTCCCATGGTATATCCCTGTTGTCACTGTACTTGACCTTGGTACCTTGCATCTTGTATATACATTTATTTAATTTGGGGAGAGGAAGAGGAATAACAAAATGCTGAAACAAGGACACAGGATGACCCATTGCAACAATGATACTCACAAGACACTAGGTTGGAAATGAACTTTACAACTTTGGTGGGGGAGGGGAAAGTAGGGGAGGTGGGGGAGGGAAAGGATAGTAGGAGAAAAACAAACGAGGGGGTAACATTGCTTGACAAGAAATGTACTCATCACTTTACTGACATACCTGTAACCATTCTGTATGTACAGCATCTTTGCAAGAAAATAAAAATTTAAAAATATAGAAAAAAAGTCTTAATATTAGGCTATAATAATGTGAAATAAAACTTTGGTTGAAATAATGACTTTTCTATTTGTGCCAAATGGTGTTTCTTGAAAATGTCTGAAGGTATCTTTAATACCATATTACCTTCTATATTGTGTCCTAATCTTTCCCCATTATCAAGAGGCTGATTGTTCTATATGTCCTTGAATTTGGCTAAGACCTGGAGGAACTTTCATCATTAGATCTTGTCTAGGCATGGTGGTGCGTACCTGAGATTCTATGAAGGATTCCAGTCTGAGGCTAGCCTCAGTATGAGATCCTATCCAAAAGATAACTAAAGGAAAAAGGGTTGGGGGTACTTGCCAAATAAGCCTGAGGCCCTAGTACTATAAAAAAAAAATTCTAGCACTATAAAAAAGAAAAGCGGAACACAGTAGAAGTGACACTGTGCTAGTTCTTGGTGAAGCTTTTACCTGAATTTGATTCATGATCTTCCATAATTATTAAAGAGAATCCCTGATCGTCCTGCACGCTCACTTTTGCTATGCTCCCGGTCAGAGACAGCATTCTATAGATGAATCATGCACTAATTAAGACATAGAAAAAGGCTTATGGAGTTACTTTAGTTCCCAGCCCTAGCCATTCTTCCAGTGGACAGTCACCATTGAATTATCATCTGAGGTTGCCATCTTGTATGTCAAACATAATTGAGTCTTCAGATGACTGCCACCCCAGGTGATTTCTGTGTGAGAAATCATATCCAACGAATCATGAACTATAAAAGTACTTTAACTCTTGAAATAGAGATGACTTACACTTGCTCCATAAAAACCTACAGCCCATTTGAAAACTTCAAAGTTGAACACTGAAAGTTAAAGATAATATTGCTTTTTTGTTAGACTCTAAGTTCCTATATGTAAGGAAATATGGCTGTTCAACATTAAACACTCAATTGAAAGCTGTTTAGACTCACTAGGTATGTGTAGCCAATAAATGTTTGCTAGACAAATGGTTCTTTCCTTTCTATTATTAAACTCAGTCCAATTTTTCTACTGAATGAAATGTCTATGCATTTGCATGAGTTATTTTGTAAATTGAATTTGTAATCCTAGTTCATGATTGCCAAAGAATGTGTTTCTGATGAGTGGACAAGTTTCAGCATATACTTATGAAGTGATTAGTAATGCTGAACCTTATATAAGGTTTTATTAACACTACCTATGCATGTAGGCGCATACACAGACATTTACACGCAAAACAGGCCAACTTTTCTTTAGTTATTAACCTACTGGTCTGAGGTGCTTTCTTGGAAGCTATGGTACAGAATTTATATCCTTCTTGGATGTATCTTACTCTCTGCAAAAGTTTAAGTCATACCTAAATTCTTAAACACGCGCAAAGGCTTAAATGTAAATCTAATTTTAGGAATAGCTCTGAGGGTTGCCAGTTCCTCAAAGTAAACATAAAAAGATTCCATTTCAGGTACATTTTAAAGTAGCATATAGGTCCATATTTGACACTATGCCAAGAAAGTTAAAAGTGACAATTTGCTCTCACAATGTGAATCTGAATGTGAGCACTTGACATGCAATGTTTACGTAGGATTCTCACTGTAATGATGAGGAAACTGAAGTCTGAGCATGTGCTGGCATATCTAAGGATGCACAATGAATAGATGGATTTAACTGCAAAACTGCAATTCCATAACCTGTATTCCTGACCATGATGACATGCTACCTTCTCTAATGTAGAATACATAAAGAAATTCATGTACACAAACCCTTAATAAGGGCCTTAATGTAACTAGAATGCATTCCATATTTGTCATTCTGCTTTGTAAGCTCTTCTCATCTGTTGCTGCCCTGCCACCAACTTTCCCAGATAAACTTCTACATCTTCTCTGAACCCCAAATATCACCCAGCGGATTTCCAATTTGGTAGGATAAGCTCTTTATTTTGTGCCATCTTATACTTCAGTATTCTTTCCTCTTCCTCCCCAAGAAAGACAATGTTCACTAGGCAAACCCTGTCTGGTATCCTCTTAAACCTGGAGCAAGCCCCACTGCTCCTCAATATCATACCAGGAACCATTAGCCATGCATTGAAGAGACTGTTACTTATCATTGCAAGAGAGGATATCCTAGAAAGTCAATTGTCCCTCTTACTCTCCACCATTAGTGGGTCTACTACTGCTTCCTGTTAGAGGGCTGCAGAGGTCCTCTGTGATCTCAAGTAGCATCCTTTTCCCTTGTCAGTGTTATATTAGTGCATAGAATCCTATTTTTTGAAAACAAAACAAAACAAAGTTTACTTATGGCAGGTACAATTGTACTTGGTAAACTGATCTGTTGTTTAGTCTTGTATACTCAATCATGTACCAGAAAACCAGCTTTTAAAAGTATTTTGGAATTGGGCCAGGTGCTGGTGGTGCCTCATACCTGTCATCTTATCTACTTAAGAGGCTGAGATCTGAGGACTGCGATTCAAATCTAGCCCAGGTAGGAAAGTCTGTGACTGTATAATCGCCAATAAACTACTAAAACGCTGAATAGGAGCTGTGGCTTATGTGGTAGAGCACTAGCCTTGAGCAAAAGAGCTCAGGGACATTGTCTGGGCCAAGTTCAAAGTGGGTGCGTGTGTGCGTGTGCACACACACATACACATACAACTTTGAGTTAGAATTTTGATTACTGAAATTAAAAGTGGATTGTAGAAATACCAACACCCACAAAAACTTTCAATTAGAAAGGCTATTCTGGGGTTTTCTTTATGCAAGTTTGGGGGACTTACTACATTTCAGCTGACAGACTGTTTAATTAATTTACTTAGCATTCTAATGAGGATGAGCATAGATTCCACTCTGCACAGTGTGTCCTTCTGGCCCTTAATGCCCTACTGTGGAAATCTACACACCATTCAGAAGACAGATCTTTGGGACACTATCAGTGAACCAATCTCATATGCTGGTTTATTTGCAACAGCTTGAGGCTTATAAGAAAACAAAAGAAAACTACAGCAGTAGTAAAGAGTTAGTGGGCAAATAGTACAAATTGTCAGTAACTTGAGATTTTGTGATGCCCCCCTCCATTCCGCAGCTGTTTCCCAGCTTCACCAGCAGGTGGCACTATAATCACAGAACAAACATTCCACAGCATGGTAGGTAACTTTTATTTTTCTAGTATAATAATTTAAAGTATTTACACACTGCACACTGTCTTACAGATACTTATTCATATTCCTATGAACCACATCTAAAGATTTCTTTCTAAAGACTCAACACACTGGGGTAAAGAGGGGTTTTCAAGCACAATGGAGGACAAAAATTTTGAGTCTTTTAAAGACAGCCCTGTGGAGCATCTGCAAAACCCAGTGTTTCCCCCATGCTTTAAGCTCTCCTGGGAGACTCGTTAACAGCTACAGCCTATCCACGTGTTGCCATTATCTTGGTTAAGAAGGGTATCCTGGAACAACACGTACACAACATTTTCTCTAGGACCTACAAAAACCAAACCCAGTCCTTATCTTGAGAAAGGCTTGTATCTCCAAGTTATCTTGGGGACTGAAACGTTTTTTACAAAGACAATGATAAAGGGAGAATCAAGTCAGCAGATTGCCACTAATGCTAGCAATGCATGGTGCTCTTTATGCATTTTCCAGTTAAAGGACACACAATACAACCCAGTTTTGTTTTCCCAACTATGAGAGGGGGTTGTTTGGTTCACTCTGAAAAGGACATAGAAAAGTCTATCATTGATTTTACTTCTTTTACACAATTTGTACACATACAGTGGCTAAAATTATCCTCTATATTTTCCCTCCTATTTTACTCAGTTATGAGACAAAGCTGCTAGCTCACGACGGCTTCTGAACTTGGCACGTGGCTCTACCGGTGAATAAAGGCAGCTATGGTTCACAGCTCATGGTAGGTGAGTCCTAATCTAGCTTCCGTAATAGGATTTTAAAGGATATTTCAGAGTTAAGTTCCACCTCTTTGGAGTTGAACCTTTTCAGAGTAAGAATCAGGGTGCCTTCATTTTTTTCTACCAAGCTGGCTAAGATTATTCTACCATCATCACAGAGGCTTGGACCTTGAGATGAACTCACAATTCCACCAGTGAATTTTGTACTGGTATGTGAAGTAGAATGTCATAAAATGACAGATTTCTTTGCTGCCAGCCTGGGCTTCTGCCAGTGCCACTGGTCAATAGGCAAAAGGCATGGATGAGCCAAAATGAAAACATTATTTTGGTCTACATTAAGCTAAAATTATGAAAAGTACAAATTGCATCACCTTTTCAAGCTGAACATTTACATTTAGATGTCACAACCTAAGCCTACCTATTCTGAAGTTAACTTTGTTATTCTCGCTTCCTTTTCTTGTTATTTCCCTTTTGCAAGGGACGTCAGCAATGGATGTGAAAAATCAAGATCATTTTACTTCTGAGGGATTTCACTAAACAACCTAAACAACTGATATCCAATTACGGTTAAGAGGGAGAAATCTAAGGAGGGAAAAACTATTTGGGACACGCAATATTCAGCAAGAACACCAGGACTAGTGAGCATGCACAGTTAAGTGCTCACCAAGTCAGGTCAAGGAAGATTTTCTGTCCTAAGTGCTCTACTATGTCATGATGCATAGACACAGGCCGAGGACTGTGAGGAAGACAAGAGAGGGAAATGCAAGGAAGACTGGAGAGCTTTGTGATAAGGTCTGGGCCTCCATATCAGAAAAACTAGCAGAGTCCAGTCCTTGGTTGAGAAGGGCTTCCTGGGGGTGGACACACGCAATGGTGCTTGAGGCCCAAATAGCCAAAGAAAAAAAATGAAGCACATATGGGCCTCCATGAATTACAGTGGCAAAAACAAGGCATGGTTCCATTAGTAAATGTATGATTTCCTGTTTTGTTTAATGATGAGTAGTTAAAAGAGAAAAAAGTTACAATTTAAGCCAGGGCACAGAGGGAAATAAAGTCTAAGAGCTCTACTGAAGTTGACAAGAAGCCTGGTATTTACCCTATCACATTGCCATCACCAGACCTTTTTATTCCTACAGTAATAGTGGTTTCAGATGCGTCAACCTGAAATACCATGGGTGTTCATATGGACAAGCAGCATCGAGAGGAGCAAAGATTGCAGTGACATCCTTCTGCATTCTGAAAAAGAGACAGCTGTTAAGAGGACTCCTTATGGGGCTCAGTGTGTGAGAGTCAAAAGCACTTACAGTGGAAGAGATAACTGTCCTCTCGAGAGGGCAGAAGGGGTAAAGACGCCCTTCAGAGGGAAGGAGGCCACTCCACCAGGACGTGGCTGGTGACAGATCAGTAGCAATGGGAAGGGCAATGGGGAACAGCCAGAATAGCTACAAACAACTGGTCACCTGCAAAGGGAATGCTGTGTATGGTGTCTTTGTATGTGTAGTATACATAGTAACCAGGTACACACATAAATATTTAATATATAAAAAATAAAGTGCTTTCTAACAGGTCCCTAGGCAGGGACATTATAAAACATTTCACAAAACTGCAAAACAAAATTGATACAAGCAAAAGAACACTACATCCAACGTTATGTGAAAACAGCCAAACGCCTATGTACAATCTGGTGGTGTCCAGGACAAACATCCTGTCATATACATGGTATATACATATATACTCTTTCACTCAATATATTATGACAATATATATTTTAAAACTTTGTTATAGATAAAAACAACCACAACAACAAAACCAAAACAAAAACCGACGACCAACCCTACAAAAACACGAGAAGGATGAGGCATGTGAGTCCCAGGCTGCCAGGCGGGCTGCTGCCTCTGCGCGGAGTCCCGTTGCTGCTGCTGGGGAAGATGTGCCAGCGTTCCTTCCTCGGGTGCAGCGCCTCCACGTCCTCCAAGGCACTGTGGGCTGCGGCAGTGAAGTTGGCATCACCGGTGGTGAGCAGGTCAAAGACACAGGACTGGAAGTAGATGTCCTTCACAGGCATCTTCTCATGACACTGAGAGTTGGCAGTTTCCAGTGTGTAACCTGGCCAGGCTTGCACCAAGGAGGTGTGAGGCAGACTGTGCCCTATGATGGCAGACACCTGGCCCTGCCCGTCATCAATGCGCTCGCTCAGAGGGCAACCGTTCACACACAACTGCAGGTCCTGGCTTTCCTCATAGGACATGGCCAGCTCCTCTGGCATTCGAATGGCAAGGGTCAGATAACGACCCAGCTGTCTTACAAACACGGTGGTGCCTATGTAACGGGCGTGCATCTCCACGTACCGCCCGCTCTCCCTCTCTACGATATGGAGGCTCTTGGTTTCGCCATCCCCACCACTGGTGGTGCCATCCACAAAGGCAGCTGGCAGGTCGTCTGTCACAGCTTGGTACACTTTCTGGTCAGTACACTCATGGTGCGCTTTGAAGATGATGGTGATCTGTGGGAGAAACACGGGCAAGTTTAAACACATGGGAAGGAAGAACTCCATTCGGAGTTGAATGGCTGGAGACAGAATCTCCAACTTCAACTCAAAAAGTGCTGCTTCACAAATAAATGGTGAAAATAGAAAGTCCCGTGTGTTCAGAATGTAAATTTAACATGTATCCAGGGAATGTGAATCAGTAAAAAAACATGAACAAAAACGAACTCCCTTTCCAAAGACAGAGAAACATCAGTGTTGTTGTTATTGGGATACAAGCATTTCTTTTCTTCTTTTTTAATTTCTTTTTTTATTGGTTGTGGGGCTTGAACTCTGGGCCTGGGCGCTATCCCTCAGCTTTTATCTCAAGGCTAGCGCTGTACAACTTGAACCACGGCAACACTTCTGGTTTTCTGGCGGTTTGTTGGAGGTAAGAGTCTCACAGACTTTTCTGCCCAGGCTGGCTTTGAACCATCACCCTCAGATCTCAGCCTCCTTAGTAGCTAGGATTACAGGTACGGGCCACCGGCACCTGGCTTTATTCTGAATTTCTGTCTCCTTCCCCAAATGCAGAAGCCATGGCTCTGGCTTCCTTTCTAAGTTACATAGAAACCCAAAAGGAACCTGAAAGACTTAGGGAACATTATCTTGGCTGGAAAGTTGCTTTCTGTGAAGACTCCTCACTAGCCTAGCCCCATATATATCCATTCATCACTATGAACAGTATCAATATTGAGCAATGAAGGAGAGTTGGGGTGGGGGGAGTGTCAGCAACAGCTACCAATCATGTGACTCAGGAAAGATTTCTCTTAAGCCCTTAATCAAACGTTTCACATTACCAGCTAATCCCTGTGACATGGAAATCATTTGGCAAATACAGCTCCCAAGCGTTGGCAGAGACCAAAGACTCCAAACCTAGTTACAGCAAATGTTTTCTTCAAACAGCAGCAGGGTCCTTCAACTCCTCTAGCAGCTCCCCTATCAACTCTCAATACCTCACAGCCCCAAGGGAATGAAAAAGTCTCCCAGAAAACATAAAGGCTTCACTGCAGCAAACTCCTTTTTTCCCCTGTAGAATTCTTTAACTGGAACAACTATTTAATCAACCACCACCACAACAAAGAAACCCAAACCAAAAAACACTTGAACCTTCAGACACCTTTGTGTACAACATGGTGGGGGGAGAAAGGAAATGAGGAAGACAGGGGTTTCAGGGTCACACAGAGAGGGAAAGGGCTGGGCTGTACTTGGTAACTGAGGAAAACAGCTTCTTCCTTCTTCCTTTTGCAAAGTGATCAGGTGACTTCAGTCAAGAAGGAAGGCAGATAGATATTGGTGCAAACACCCTTCCAGCTCTGGCTAGGAACTAATCACAATAGACTCTTGTTAAAAAATGCCAGAAAATGCCCCCCCCCCCCCCCCTTATTTACATACTACCTTCAGATTATGAATAGATGACTATTGTTCTTCCCCTTCCCCCCCCCCCCCCCCCCCCCGCGCCACCTCCCAAGTCCTTTCTACCACCGTCAAGTTTATGTCTGAAGGCTTTCTCCAGCTCAGCCAGCATTTGCTCACACTATTTAATTCCACATGTTCCCACTGGTGCTACTTGACTGGAATTTTCCAGCCATTTCATTTTACTTCAGCCAGTTTTAGAGCCAGATCTGAACCAGCTGCACTGTAACAACTGGTTAAACTCATATCCGTTGTTTGCAGCTGCAACTAAAAGCCAGACAATGTGCTATGAGAGAATGCTGGGCTTTCTCTCTTCCTAATTACTTAGTCACAATTTGATTTCACTACCAGCCTTCTCATATTTCAACATCATCTTAACAACTCAAAGGAGGTGAACTAGAGATTTCAGGAAATTTGCTGTGCATCCAACCATAGTACTTTCCAGAGTAAATGGGGTTTTGAGCTAGATATCTAATGGGACTATAAAACAGATTTATTTGGTGGTTCTAAAATCAGTTTGACAAGTACTTTTCTTTCCCTCCCTCCCTCCCTTTCTCCCTTTCTTCCTTCTCTCTTTCTTAGGCACACTAGGATCTGTTGCAAGTGAAAAAGATTACCTCAAGTAAATTCTACACCTTGAGGGTGAAGGTTAGCAATAGAGGTGATAAAAATAGTCATGGACTTTTTATATAGTCACTATCCTCAACCATAACACACTCAAAGGTTGAATAAATTCTACAACAACTATTAGTTTAACCAACTCAGCATTATTTGCAAGAACCAGCACTTCAACAAAGACGATTTGCTTCTGTTAGGACAAAGCAGAGATACCCAATTCCAAACAAGTTTCCAAAAGGACAATCTAAATCAATAGTAAGATGAGTGAAATAGTTCTGGATGTCAAACCACGCCTGTGTTTTTTTCATTAAGCACACCCATTTCAACTCAGGAATCCCACAAGAGTCCTTTCAAGCACCTCAGGTTTGTGTCCTCTGCTATGCCTTTGACCCTACCTAAAATACCACACTACCGAGAATATCACATGAAGAAAGGCCTGACTGCTTCTCTAGCATCTGCACTTCTAAAATAATTTACTTCAGATTTTGGTGTCTTTCCATTTTGCTAGTAGTGTTTTTCTCAATGAGAGCATTATGGCAATACTTCTCTTGATGTTCCTTTTCTTTGTCCTATTGAGTGAGAGAATTCTCACACAAAGCATCTGCATAGAATTATCTTCTGAATCAACAAGCTGAGGCGATGAATTGATCCCAAAACATGAGCCAGTTTTCCTGAGATCACCTCTGTAGTTTAAATTAAGAGGTACCGAACAAGTATCTGGATATATCATCAATGTAAATGTAAAAAAGTCTGGTAATAGTTGCATATGACTTGAGTTTGGTAACAGAATTTCATTCCTCAGAACAATTACAATACAAGCTCATAAAAAGCAAGCACTCAGCTGTGAAGAGCAAGAAATTCATTTTCAGACCAGCTTCCTCTTAGAAAGTTAAGATTCGTTCGCTCTTAAAAGTTCTTACTTCAAAAACATTTAAAATTTAATTGGATGTTTGGAAGGTTTAGAAATTCCAAACATTTTCTATTTCCAAATAGCAGCCATCACAGCAATATTAAAAAAAAATTCCAAATTGTATTCTAAAGCTTTCATACAACATTTAAAAATTTAAAATAATCAGTTCTGCGGTTCACCCACCCTCCAAGAACTAATCCATATACTGTAATAACTCAATTTGGCACATCTGTTCTATGCCACACCATTTATTATTGATAGATGGCATTTCTGTGCATTTAAAACATCAATGCCTTTTGTTAAGCCTCCCCCTTCAGCCCTTCTCCACCCCACCTTACAGAAACTACTCTAGTTCTTCTCATTCATTTTTAATGTTTCATTCCTTGAGATCTTTGCCACCCACAAGGTCTATTAGGAGGAAAAAGACAGCAGCTACAAATCAACCTTTCCACACAAGAGGCAGAATACCTTAAGGTTTGTTGTGAAAGATCAAAATTAAGAGGCACCTGCTTCTCCTTTCCACTGGCAAACAAACGAAAGTACATTATGTGAAAATGAAGTACCCCATGAAGTACCCACTACCTCTCCATGAAATACAGAGATCTCTTTCCTTATCCTAACAGCCTTGCAAAATACTGCATACAGGGTATTTGGGGAAGAAAGATGGGGGGTTTGAACCTAGGGCCTTGCACTTAGAGGCATATGTTTACTACTTGAGCCACACCTCCAGCTTTAGGTTATCTTCAGATGAGGTCTTGTGCTTTTTGTCTAGTTTGGTGGACCACTATCCTCCTCCTTATGCTTCTGAATAGCTAAGCTTACAGAAGATGCACTACTGCAGATGGCCTATTTGTTGAGATAGAGGTTTCAGTAACATTTTCCCCTAAGTTACAGCTTTGAACCGTGATCCTCACAACCTTGGCCTCTTCAGCTCACATTACAAGTGTGAGTCACTGAATCCAGTCTGCACAATGGTTGATAGTAAAGAATTCTCCAAAGGATTTGTATTAATTAGCATGCATATATTTTGGAGGGAACATTTATCAGTGTTTAATCAGACCAGTTAGCACTGAAAGTACAAGGACCTTTGTAGAATCTTCAAATATCAAAACTGAACTTTAGAATGAGAAACCAAACAGCTTGTGGGTTAGGATGGGACTGAAAACTACAGTAAATACAAATTAGCTTGAACTATAGATAGAATTTTAATATAAACCTAGTTAAAATTTTGCTTATGTGAAGTTAAAATACATTTTATTTTATATAATTAGCTTATATGTTTATATTGTCATTTCTGAGTGAAATTATATATATGTATATATATATATATTTAAAAACAACAACAGTAGATTCAGCTGGGTGCTGATGGATCACACCTGTCATCCTAGCTACTCAGGAGACTGAGATCTGGAACAGCCCAGACAAGAAAGTCCATGAGACTCTTATCTCCAATAGACCACCAACCAGAAGTAGAGTTGTGGTTCAAAGTGGTAGAGTGTCCTGAGCAAAAAAGCTCAGGCCCAGAGTACAAGCCCCAAACCAACCAACCAACCAACAAAAACCCAAAGAAACCCAGTAGATTCTAACTACAAGTTTAAGACTGTTCTTGGGTCTTACACATAAATGTAATGTACAGCCTTGACAAGCAGTCCTCTAAAAAGAACATCAAAACCATTCTAACAAAAGTATAAACCTCAGAGAAGAAAAAGAAATATGCAGGCTTTATCTCTATCCCTAACACAATTAAATTTTACTTTGGATGGTTGTTTTTTCTGAGAGTTGAGAAATGAGTGACTAGGAAGCTGCTAAAGCCCCCAGAGGAAACAGAGTCCCTAGAAAGAACCTTTCTCGGTTGTCTCCCTGGTCCTCCTAAGTGGACAGTGGATGTCAGATGCAGCGGCAGGGAGGCAAGTCTGCTTTGGTTACATAAAAAATGGGGAGGAGACGTCTGCCTCTCGTCCTTTTGTGGGGCAGGGAGAAAAATACCAACCACACACATTTATTTAGAATGACTTTCTGTCTAAATAATTCCATG